CTTAAACCACTTATGGTAAGCTTGAAATGCTTGTGTTAGAAGTGGTTCACGACAGTAGTCGAATGGTGGATTTGAACTCACGACCTTTCGAGTTCGCGGTCCGGGCCCTGCCATTAGGCTACTGATGCTTAAAATTGACGCTTAGTTGGCATAATCTTCCCTTTTGCAGCTACAAAAATTCTTTAAATGTACATTGTCGTGAGGTTGAAAAATTACACTTTCCGATTTTGAGTTGTTCGTATACAACTCCTGCTCTTAATTTCCTAAATAGCATAGTTTTTATTTTAGTGTAATAATCAACTAATTACTATACTTTCATTCTTGAGAGCGCTATAGATATTTATAAAGCACTGTATGGTTTTATTATACGTCAGTTATAGTTTTTAGTAGATCAGTTAATTCAATTTTCTTACCTTCATTAGGTGTTCCTGTTCCTGTTTCAGAGATATTTTCGTTTATTGCTCATAGGCAAAATAATCATGATATAGCAATGTGAACTGGCATCTAATATATTATAATGTAAATGCGTTGCAATATAGGGTAAAACATCCAGTAGTCATCCTTTTGGTGAGAACTAAAATTTGATTTAACTGTATTTTAAATATTAAACATTATGAATTAAAACAATCATTATTCTCAGAAAAATTGTTTATTACATTTACGAAAGAAATTACCAAAATATTATATTTATAATAGAATAATATAAAAAATCAACATTAAACAAATTATAGCACTTTTCACCAGTAGTCAGCTTCATTTCTCCCCAAGTTCATATATGTCCCCAGCGAATTCAGTACATTTCAAATGATACCATGCAAGGCAATTGGTACATCGAATATTCTTTAAATCATTAATTTCTGTGTAGCTAGTAAATTCCTCTTCAGACATCTTACTCTGTTTATTGAGTATGTCATATTTTTTTCCTCTTTTTACAATTTTTGGAATTGAACAGCTTTTCGCTTTCCGCTTTTGTAATTCTTCTTTTTTATTCCTTTCTTTGTTTTAGCTTCTAATCTCTTAATTTTTTAATTAATATATCATTCTTTTGTTGTTACTTTACTTGCTTTTTTGTTTCTGAAATTGTCTCATATCTTCGGAAAAAATTGCTCCTATTCTATTAATTGATTTTATCTTTTTTGTTGCTTTAGATACAACAGGCCGGTACTCGAAGTCCTCCAGAAGCTCTTTATTTCCGTCCTCCATGGTGGCACTACACCGGAGGCGTGGAGCAGAAGTGCGCTGGTCTTATTCTTCAAGAAAGGTGACAACGCTCTCTTGAAGAACTACAGAGCGATTTCCCTTCTGAGCCGCGTCTACGTGCTGTTTTTGAGAGTCCTTACGAATCGTCTCGCGTGCAGACTTGACTACTTCCAGCCTCCCGAACAACCCTGTTTCCGAAAAGGCTTTAGCACCATAGACCACATACATACCCTTCGGCAAATTGTACAGAAGTCCGAGGAGTACAATTTGCCACGATGTATGTATGTGGACTATGAGAAAGCCTTTGATTCCGTCGAAATTTGGGCGGTGCTGCAGTCCCTTCAGCGATGCCAAGTTGACTGTCGGTATATCGAAGTGCTGAAGTGCTCGTACAGTAGGGCTACGATGGCTATCAGAGTACAGAACCAGAGTACGAAACCTATCCAATTGCAGAGAGGTGTAAGACAGGGTGACGTGATATTCCCAAAACACTTCACCGCTGCTTTGGAAGACGTTTTCAAGCTTCTGGACTGGAAAGAATACGGTATCAACATCAATGGCGAGTACATCACTCACCTTCGATCGCTGGAGGACTTAAGCACTATGCTCAACGACCTCAATAGTGTTTCCCAACGGAATGGTCTTAAGATGAACATGGACAAAACAAAGATTATGTTGAATGTCCATGTCACACCTATGCCGGTAGTTTGTTTTTAAGTTGTTGACGAATATGTTTACCTGGGACAAATAGTCCGACTAGGTAAGTCCAACTTTGACCGAGAGGTCAATCGACGGATTCAACTCGGTTGGGCAGCGTTCGGGAAATTACGGCACATCTTCTCGTCAGGTATACCTCAAAACTTGAAAACAAGACTGTACAACCAGTGCGTGTTGCCAGTGATGACCTATGGTACTGAGACGTGGTTCTTCACTGATGGCCGGATGAGGAAGCTCAAGGTCGCTCAGCGAGCTATGGAGAGGGCTATGCTCGGAGTTTCTCTGCGTGATAAACTTAGAAATGAGGATATCTGCAGTAGAACCAGAGTGACCGACATAGCCCAACGGATTAGCAAGCTGTAGTGGCAATGGGCCGGCCATATAGCTCGAAGAACCGACAACCATTGGGGAAAAAGGTCTCGAGTGGCGGTCTAGTACCGGTGGACGAAGTGTAGGGCGTCCCCCCACTAGATGGAGTGACGACCTGGTAAGATATGTAGGAAGTCGATGGATGCAGGTGGCTCAGGACCGTGCTTTGTGGTATTCTTTGGGGGAGGCCTATGTTCAGCAGTGGACTTGTGAAGAGCTGTAATGATGAGATATAACAGGTAAGGACAAATGTTTATTTAAAACAGATTTCTTGATTTTGCAACAACATCGGGCAAGATAGTTGTTTTGCTTTTTATATTTTTTGAACTTTCATTTAATGCGTATTGCATATTTTTGTCTCTTTTTGTTCATTGTTTTTTTCAATTGGATTTGGTTTACATTCTTTCTTTATGACTTTTAAATTATTCATAACATAGTTATTATTTTCTAGGAGTAATTTGTCTCCTGTATTTTCTTCATCAATTTTATCTTGGTTAGTATTTATTTCTGGTTCAACATCTTTATTTTCCATAGATTATTTATAAATTGATTTCGGTTTGATATTAGTGTAATACAGTAGCTTCCAATTTCTGTACTTTTGATTTCTTTTGATTACTTCGAATTCGTTCAAGACTATCTCACTTTCGGTAAAGTTAATCAAATTATTTCTAATGTATAATCACCTATAATTGGTCTCTTTGGCACGGTGGAATTCTAAAACAAACGATTTTCTTGCTAAAATAATTTCATATAAATTTAACCCTTACTGACTTACTTACAGAATCTGGGTACTATTTTGTGCAACAGGACTAACGGCTGACAACTGGATTTGTAGACCCATTGGTCAGCCTCTGACATATAATTAAAATTGTACGCGGCTGACTACTGGTAAAATAAACTTTTCCTCTTATAAGAGTTAAACACAAAGTAATGAGCATAATGGGGACTGTTCTCTTCGTTGATTTCAACTGTATATAAGAAAATCACGAAAAAACCAGTAGTCAGCCACTTATGTCTGAGTACTGGATCTACCTTAAAAATTCGATACCCAGTAGTCAGCCACCTTTTTTTTTTTGCGGATGGAAAATCATCAAATGACGCCTTTCGCTCTGGGTGGAGCGGAAGGGAGTGTCAGACTTTTACTGACTAAAAACCATCCGTGTTCCTTCAGAACCTTTACGTTCCGGAGCCGCGGTATCTCTTTCGAACAGCCCGCAGCCCCGGCAGGCGTCGGCCCTTGCGGGCCCCTTCACGCTGCTGACAGCTCTTTGAGGCGCGCGTGGAACAAAACGCGCCGTCGACACGGCCTGTCGTCGTTAGACGGACGGACGGCGAGCTACCCATTGCTCGCCGTCCACAGGCCCACGCCTACGGTGGCCGGGGGCCACGACGTAGCCCCCGACGCCCGGGGCGTCTCCCGCGGCGGCCGGGAAGGAAAGCTGCTGCTCTCTCCTTCTCCCGCTCCGCCACCTCCTTCGCTAGCATCACTGCTTCGCAGAAGGTGGTGACGGCATCCCATTCCGTCTCGCTCCGGACCATGGCTTCGACCAGGGCCGGACGCGAGAGGTCGCCGCCGCCTATCGCCGCTACGAGGACACGGCGGTGCTCCGCCCAGGCAGGGCACACCTCCACGGTGTGCTCCACCGTGTCCTCCGGTCGATCCTCGCAGTGGGAGCACCCGGGCGTTTCCTCCCGCCCGATTCGGTGCAGGAACCTCCCGAACACACCGTGTCCGGTGAGGACCTGCGTCAGGCGGAAGGTGAGGACGCCGTGGCGTCTCTCAAGCCACTCCTCAAAGAGGGGTCTTATCGCCGCTATAGTGGCGTGCCCAGCACGGGGTTGCGACAGTCGCTCTCTCCATGTCGCCATGAGATCATGCCGGAAGTCTGTCCGCTGCACGACAACTTGCCGCGGCAGCGGGGTTTCCCCCCGGCACAGTGCCTCCGCGCGCCATTCGTGTAGGCGCGCGAGGACTATCGCCTCCAGATCCCATGGTGGCAATCCGGCAAGGAGGCACGCTGCCTTGCGGGAGATCGTGCGGTAGCCGCGAACCATTCTTACGGCAACCACCTTTTGGGGCGCGTTCAGGTGGTGGACGGCAAGCCGCGCCAAACCACGCGCCCACACCGGGGCCCCGTAAAGGGCCATGGACCGCACAATCCCCACGTAGAGCCTCCGGCAGGAGGCGTTTGGCCCCCCCAGGTTCGGCAGGAGCCGCCTGAAGGCAGCCCCGGTCCGTTCCAGTTTGGGAGCCAAACGTCGGAAGTGCTCAACGAAGTTCCATCGGCCGACGAGGACGAGTCCTAGGTACTTCAACGTCGACTCGACGCCGATGGATACCCCTCCTACCATCGCTGAGGATCCCGGTGGTGGCCTGTTCCGAGGACCATGGAAGTGCATGGCCTCGGACATGTGCAGAGCCACCTCAAGACCCAGCTGCCGGATCCTCTCAACGACTATCGCAACCCCGCGTGTCATATTTTCCGCCGCCGCCTCGTACGACCTCCCCTGTGCCAGTACCAGCGTGTCGACAGCGTAGCAAACTACGCTGACGCCGGTAGGGAGGTCGGCGCGCAGCACCCAGTCGTAACAGATGTTCCACAGGGGCGGCCCCAGAACCGAACCTTGTGGGACACCGCACGACATCTCTCGCCGGTTCCACTCACCGTTGCGACCGGGGTAGATGACGGCCCTATCCGTCAGATAGTCCCCGACTATACGACGGAGATAGGTCGGCACCCGGTGATACCGGAGTGCCTCCCTAATGCAGCTCCAGGGCATGGAGTTGAAGGCGAAACAACCCTCCCCCCCCCCCTGGCCACTGCATCCCCCGTCGTGAGGGCTCTTACGCGCATGATGGCGTCCACCGTAGAGCGCCTCTTGCGGAAACCAAACTGGTGTTCCGCAAGATCCGGCCCCGTCCCCGCAAGGTGCTCGGCGAGGCGGTTTGCAATGACTCTTTCAAAGAGCTTGCCCACCTCGTCGAGCAGCACCACGGGCCGGTATGCGGACGGAGAGTCCGCAGGGCGCCCCGGCTTCCGAATGAGGACCAGCTTCCCCGTCTTCCAACGAAGCGGGAATTGGCCTCTCTCCAAGCATGCGCTTAGGAGCCCCTCCAGTCGGGGCCCGAGAGCCTCCGAGGCCAGGACCCAGGCTTTGCCAGGCAAGCCATCGGGTCCTGGGGCGGTATTCCTGGCCTTGAGCCTACGTACCGCCACTCTCAGGTCTACCCCGGTCCCTTCCGGGATGTCGTCGTCGTCGTCCTGGTGGTCCGCTTCCGGCACCGCAGGTGGCGGAGCCATAGGCGGGGGCGGATGTTCCCCTCGCGCAGGAAACAGAGCGCTCACCACGTCCTCCACGAGCTGAGGCCGGAGACTCTGCGTCAGCGGGGGGGCCCAGGTGCGGAGTTTATCCAGCATCTCTTCACGGGCCCGATCCCGGGCCCGTATGACAGTCTCCCGGAGGGCGGTCTTCGCCGCTCTGTATCCCTCGTACAGCTCCGCCTCAATGGCTGCCGCATTCGGTGGACGAATGCGGAGCCTGCGATGCCTGGCGTACAAGTGCCGCGCGGCGACACACGCCTCGCGCAGAGACGTCAGCTCACGCGACCACCAATACACCTGGCGCCGGGCGCTTCCTGGCCGGACGCGGGGCATTGCCACGTCACATATCTCGGAGATGGCCTCCTGGAACGACCCTGCCTCATCATTGACGTCGGCAGGCCTATCCGGTGATGACACCCAGGCCTGCACGATCGAGGCTTCCAGGAGGAGCTCCCGGTCCAGCTGCTTCAGCGCCCAACGCGGACCACTCGGGGCCTGTTGGACTGGCGCGCTCGAAGGCTGGGTGGAGACGTCAAACCGGATGTACCGGTGGTCGGAGTAGGTCTCCACCCCCTCCATGACTCGCCAGTCAGTGGCACGCGGCGACAGAGCGGGGCTAGCGAACGAAATGTCCACCACCGACTCGCCCCGCATCCGCACACACGTGGGGACAGAACCCCGATTTAGGACGACCAGGCCTTCTCCAGAGCCCAGTCTTCCACCATCCTACCCCGCACATCTGTACGACGAGAACCCCAAGCCAAGTTCTTGGCATTGAAGTCCCCGAGGACAAGCACGGGGAGGGGATAGCTTCCGACGACGACTGCTCTCAGCTCTGCAAGAGAGTTGTGGAGCTCGGCGAGAGATCGGTTCGGGGAGAAGTACACCCCCACAACGACGAACTCCCCGAACCGTGCTGCTACGCACCCCTGACCCCTCCTGACACATTCAAGGGTCGGGGTACCGGCGGCGGCCGAAGAGATGATGGCCACTGAGCCGTTAAGGTCCGCCACCCAGTCCTTCCTAGGTAGTCAGCCACCTAAATTACAACATATTAAACAAATAAAATGCATGTAATAGTTAACTTTATCACAAAATAAACATTTTATTGTAACACAGTATAAGAATCCACCACAAATTACAGCAAATACACACAAACACTTACCGAAAACCCGAGCACGTTTCTTTAAGAAAAAAATCGTAACAGCGATGCATCTAGTCATGTCTTCATCAACAGTGCAAATTAACGAGTGTTGCTCGTCAACCTGACATGCTATTGGTTCGTAGGTGTGCGTATAATATAAATACAATGAAGAGAAACAGATTTAATTAAACGTTATTTTAAATGTGTAAATAAATTTCCACACTATTTATATGGAAATAATGTCTGTAAAGGCTGAGTACTGGTGTGGGGCTGACTACCGGGTGTTTTACCCTAGTTTATTATAATACTTATATCTGTTATAAGTGCAAAAAGAGTAATAAGTTGAATTAAAAAGTAAAGTTACAGCCTACGAGTATATTAGGTCCACGACTGAGAATAGGCATTCTTATGAGCAATTTATGATTTAAAGCCTAAAGAGTCGCTGCGACAAAAATTTAAGGAAATTAATATATTAACTTTGGCCTCTCAATACATTTATGAAAATGTAATGTACGTACACAAAATAAAAGTAGTTTTACAAAAATAAGTGATATTCATTCTGTAAATACTAGGAACAGACACAAGCTAGTAGTACCAGTTACTCGACTCCATCGAGTCAGTAATTCATTCTTGGGGCGATGTATACGCTTTTACAACAAAATTCCAGAAAATATACAAAGTTTGACCTGTTCAAAGTTCAAAAACTTTATTAAACTAAGTTTGTATAAAAAGGGTTATTATAATATTAAGGAATTTATGGATGATAATAACCCCTGGAAATGAGGTGATCACTACCAAGCTATTTCTAATTTGTTGTGTTGTTAATTTGTGTAACATCATGATTGTAAGCTGTTATTTAAAAAAAAAAGTCCCGCTGGGTTTCTTGCTGGTTCTTCCCAGGACAGAGGTTTTTTCCGAACCAGTGGTAATCAAACAAAAGAGTGACTTTCAATAAGTATTATTTATAATCTATATTGAATAAAAAAGTTTCTGTTTCTGTTTCTGTTTCTGTTTCTGTTTCTGTTTCTATGTTTCTGAAAAAGTTTTCTTGGAGCGGGGCATGGTTCATCGCACTGCCTTTGGCGCGTTGTCCAGACGCTTAGTAATAAAGTGCATGTTATTAAAATATATATTAATTTTTGCTAAGTAAATTCTTAAAATTCGACCAAAACCCTTATTTTTTAACAGGAAGTATTTTTTATTTCGTTTATAAAACGTTCATAAAATTTAATTTGTAATGGACATACTTAAATCCAATATATAAGTATAATTATAGTAGTATAATTTAATTATTCTTAGATATAGCTCAACCATTTACCGACAGATGTCACCGTTCACTGTTTATATTTGGGTTGCCAACTGTTTTTGGGGATATAAAGTATTTAAACCTTTGAATAAGAAACTTTGAATAAGAACTATTTGCAAAAACAAAAATATTTTTAAATTTAATTTTTATCGCTTCAAATAAATACTTTTTGTGCTTTACAATAATAACAATTACAATTTATTGCAGACCCACATTCAGTTAGTAATTTGCCGTCCACGATCATCTCGAGACGGCGAAGCCGGCCTTGCTCTTTCTGACTGAGACGCAGGTGTCCTCTCCGGTTGATACTTCGTATCTCTCGTACCCGGGATACAAATTAGAACACTCCTTTGTGCCTCTGACTGGAGTTTGCGTATACGTCAGAGAGGACATCTGTTCTCGACGCCTCGGCAGTCTTGAGGGTTCGGACCTATCCATTCTTTGGTTACGCGTAGACAGCAATAACCATCCGCGCGTCTACGGGTGCCTCCATAGGTCCCATAACGGTAATGTTGAAACAGACCGACTCATTGACCACGTCCAAATGGCAACAGATTCCTTGCTACAACAGGTCCCATCCGCAGAGATCGTGATCCTTGGCGATTTTAACGCCCACCACGCCAAATGGCTCTTTTCACGCCTTAGCATATGGTCTGACACAACTGGTTACTACGCCTATGCGGATTACAGATGTGGAGGATCAAGTTTCAAGGCACTCCCCTTAATGCCTCAGACAGTATCGGAATCCTCTGCGTCGACGTATCAAGTGACATGGCATAGTTTTTTAGTCACTTGGAAAAGAAGGCCAAATTGGCCTTTAAAAAGCTTGACGCACTCTGCAGAGTGGGACAGTATTTCATGTCAGCACACCGCCTGCAACTTTACAAGGCGCATGTTCGGCCTCAATGGAATACTGTATCCATCTCTGGGATAGGGCCCTCCAGTGCCAGCTACTTCCACTCGACCGCATCCAGCGCAGAACCCAATTCTTACCGATCGGCTCGATTCACTGGCGCTGCGAAGAGATGTTGCATCCCTTTGCATTTTCTTTCGGATTTACCACGGGGAGTGCTCTAAGGAATTGTTCGGATTAATCCCAGCCGCCAAATTTCACGAACGCATATCTTGGCATCTTGGTATCGTACTGAAAAATTTATTTGAAAGTTGTATATCCTACAACTTTAAAAAATGTTTTATCATATCTTATTAGATATAATAACTCTTCCAAACTTAAAACGATATTTCCGCAATTATTTCGTCTGTGGCTGTACCGTGTCGGGTACCAGCTAGTTATAAATAATTTGCCATTCCATACAGTTCAGCTGACCAACCATAGTTTTGGGTGTTACTTTTGAACTAGATTGCAAAAATAAAGGAAAGTCAGTAATAATACGAGTAGATTCAATTTACGCCCGTTTCCAATAAAGTAGAAAGAACAAAGCCAGTTTCTACTCGACGATCTTAGGTGTCGATTTTCTTTCATCGAACTTATTTAAATGTCGTAGAAGATTTTTGATATATGTATAAGGATTGACGATCGCAGTGTGAGGAAATTAAAGATCGCTTAGCGAGCTATGGACAGGGCTATGCTTTAGATTTTTCGAAACGACTTATAAATTAGGACATCCACAGTAGAATCAGAGTAACCAAACATAGCTCATAAAAATAGCTTAAAACCGACAACCGAAGAGAAAGGTTTTCTAGAATGGAGTGACGACCTGATAAGAGATGCAAGAAATCGATAGATGCAGAAAGTCAATGGATCCAGGTAGTTCGGGACTGTACTTTTTGGTGTCTCTGAGGGAGGTCTATGGTCATCATTGTACTTGGGATAATGTTGATGATGATGAATAATTATTAAAAATTGTCACGACTAAGCGTCTGATTTATTACCAATTGTCTCAAGCATTTAATTATAGATTACTCAAAAACAAAATATTGCGAGTAGCCATAATTTCACAGCCACATGTTAATCAGAACAATACATTTCTTAAATTACAAAATAAATACAATTTTAATATCAAGAAGAAAAAAACCAAATTATTTAATTTTCTGAAAAAAGTTTAAAAGTTTGTTAAAATTTCAAAAGACAAATTAGTTAGGTGTAATTGGCAACAGTTGAACTCGATCTCAAGTTTGATAGACAATTATTGTTAATAAATATTTTATAAGGAATATTACTGTAAATACTGTTATTTTTATACATTGCTTCCTATTTTGAACTGTCTTTAATTTTATTTTTGAACTTATACTTCTTTATATTAATTTTAAAAATTTGACATTGAATTCACTATTTATTCAACCTGTATCAATTAATGACTAAAACTAGAAACTTAATTATCATATAGTCCTACTCACCGCGGTATCATGCCAAGAACGCTGGCTGCGTTTCCCCGCTGAATGGCTATACTTAGCCTTTGAGCGAGAAAAGAAGCAACCCTTTTATCACCAGCAGCAATGACCAGCCGCGGATGGAGTTCCTTTAGGAACTTCACCGCACGTGGACCCCACGGACCGATAGTCTCTACA